TGTATATATATATGTGTGTGTATATATATATATATGTGTGTGTATATATATATATATGTGTGTGTATATATATATATATATATATATATGTGTGTGTATATATATATATATATATATATATATGTTCCCCACCCCTTGCACAAGCCTAAAATATATATTGACATGTGTACTTTTAATTAACTGCCCTAATCATCTGACTTTCTCTGTGCTCAGAACAGGAGAAAACCGCTGAGCAGGCTATGCTGGCGGTCCGTGTTTTAGTTTGCGGAGGAATTTATAACAGATGGAGGCTGCCGTGGAACAATAATCTGACTATCATGCACTTTTTTGTCGGAAAGCAGTGCTTGGCTCTCTTTTTCATCGTGGTTTTTGCTTTCATATTTTTTGCGCTACAGAACAACAAGTTAATTGAGCTCAGAGAGGTAAGGAATGAGGAATCTGACTTGGTGTTTTGGTGCATAGATACAAATAAAACAAAAATAAAAAAACAAATATGTCTTTATCCATTTGTATTTATAGTCTTTTTAGTTAATGTGCTTCTGACACCATCTCTCTCTTGACTTTCTGCCAAATTCAGCAACAAGTGAGCCCCACAAACATATTGACAGTTACCAATGGCTCGAAAAAGCAACAGGGCGTGTGCACCTTTAAGCCACTGTCGCCTAAGGAGACTGAAGAGGAACGCCTCATACTGGACTCCATTGCTTGGCCGGAAATCCCACCTTGGCCCACTCCTATATCCATAGAGACCACCTGTGATCCAGCTCACAGCTCCTTTACCATCTTACCAAGGAGAGGAGGAGGACAATGGCAGATAGGGGATCAGCTGAGGGTCATGATCGAAATGTCTGACTTCAATGGCCGCCCCAAGACTTCGGGGGGAGACTTCTTACTCGCACGGCTGCACAACTCCAAGCTTCAAGCGGGCGTGGTTGGAAAAGTGGTGGATCATCTCAACGGGAGCTACTCCGCTGTATTCTCATTGGTCTGGGAAGGAGATGCAGTTGTTGAGGTAATGCTAGACACCATTTTAGACATACATTTTAATCTGTCTTTGAACTGAGCTGTTTGTGAAGTCCCGCTTTCTTTGGTTACTGCTTCTTGGAATGACAATGGTGGCAGATCAAATCTCAGAATAAGTTGGTCTTTTTAGAAACACAAGGGTTTTTTCCCTTTTTAAAGCAACTGAAGTAATCCATAGTAACATTAGCTCCAAAAGTTGCAATGACTTATTTTGTCGGCTGAATTATGTGAGAGCTCTGTAAAATGAGTCTAAAAGCTGGTGTAGGCAATTTAGTTTACAACCTTTTTCTTTAAACCAATCAGCAATCGAAATAAAAAAATTACAAAAGAGGAAAATAATCCGTCGCAGGCCTCTAATAAGCCGATCCAATTATATCACTCGGCCAACATAGAATAACTTCAAATGTGCACTTTACGGCTACTTAAATTATAGTAGAGTAGATAAGTAAAATAATAAAGCCAAGTGTCCCAGGGAAACGTACCTGTTGATGTATTTAACCTACAGATATCTCCATTTAACACTTCCAAAAGTAATAAGTCAATTGATGATATCAAGAACCAACATTTTCGGTAGTGACAAATGGATTCTAGATATCTGTAATCAGAATTGCTAATAGGTCAAATGTCATGAAAACAATACAATAAAATACAAAGGGGCTTTATTGGCATGACCACATCTTAAACATAGTAGGCAAAGCATTCCAAACAAGGCGTTATAACAGAACAGAACAAAACTAAAATCAACACTAAAAATAAATGTCAACCAGTGGCGAGCCGTGACTTTTATACCTAGGCCCTCACCACCCCTTCCCTCGTTATTACGTCACCGCGTATACTTCAATATCAATATCAGTATCAATACCAATATCAAAACAACGGCCCGGGGTGCAAAACGCATCAATGAAAGCGACCCTCTACCACACAAAACAACACCTGTAAATAACCCTATTTGTGTTCTTTGAAATTGAAAAGGAAATTGCGTTGTGTTTGTTACTTTCGTTGCAGTTGTATGTCTTAAGTGTAATTTGGCATGCTTTTATTTTGAAGGCGAGTTAACGCTGTTGAGGAAGTTGGTGTTGCTATGGAAACAAGAAAAGCTTCACAGCGGGCGGAACTTGTCATAAAGTCCGCGATAATAGAGAGGCGAAGTCACGCCCATCTACTTCCGGTTCATGGGACCCCGGAAGCGAAAAATTATACATTGAATTTAATGGAGAGAGAAAACGTATCTTTTGATCCCGTTTGAATTGTGCCACGAACTACACATATGATGTTTGTCAATCTTAAACAATAATTTCCATGTAAAAAATGTCACATTTTGTCGTAAAACTGTTGAAATATAAGACTATGAAAAATACGCGACTACAAAGACTACAAATCCCAAATCCCATTCTGGGTCGCGTAAGTGATGTCATAGGCGATAATGCTCCAAGACCTCCAAGACTTGTTGCGACTCGCAAAGCGAAGAAGAAGAAGATCTCGCAATTAAAGCAAAGAAGAAGAAGACTGATTTATTGCCTCCAATAAATATAAGAGATTGCTCCAATAAATTCACTTTTATAAGATGCCTGTGTGCTTTGTACCATGTTGTAATCACAAAAGTGATCATACCACTTGCTCGTTCTATCGCTTCCCGTCTGGTGAAAGGACCAGGACCAAACATATCAGGTAAT